CTCTATATTAGTCACACCTCTTTACAATCACGCTTTTTTGTATCCCGAAGGTGTGACTATAGAGAGTTTTGACTGTACAATATTCTCGCATTTCATCTTAAGTCCATTCATTCTAAATTTGACACATTACAGATGTGTATAATGATGGACATGAAAGTGGAAAAATTGAATCAACAAGTATGAATGAGTGGTATTCGAAAGATATTGAAGATGACAAATTAAATAAAAGAACTAACCTTGAGATTTCCAAAAATCGTGAGCCTGATGGTAACGTCTATACGAAAGTGGATTATAGTGAAAATGATGATGATGGGAAGACAAATTTTGATGAAAAGAATGAAAGGAAAATATATAACATCGAAGAACCTGTTAGTGATATGGAAATATTAATTGGAAATAATGATAAAAACAAAGATAAGGATAAAAAAGTGATTAGAAAAAGTGAAATGTGCCTTCTTCATGAAAGTTTTGATGAACCACTTGCTGATTTAGATAATGCACTAGAAATTGAATCAGAGAATGTAAAGGCATTAGAAAATGAAGAAAGAAAACTAAAAAATATAGTCAAAAATCAAGAGTTGACCTACTCCAGTAAGGAAGAAGAAGTAACGTCTACTGATTTCTATGAAGTATTGGAAGGGTATTTGAAATGTGTTGAGGATGATAACTTAACTAGATCATACAATCCTGGATCCTGCTTTCAAAATGGTATAGGCATGGTTAAGAACGAATGGATGGCATCTAAATAGGTGTTAAAATCGGCAGAACTTGAGGATGAAATCAAAAATAATGGTATGCATTTAGAAGATCGATTTGAAGAATCTATAGTAGAAATCAAGAATAGTATGAATAGAGGCGTTGAAAATGATACTTACTAATTAACTGGTCCCTTACTTCTATCTTTGATCCTGGAGGAGAAATTCATTTGACCACCTTAATGCTATACTAAAAGAATCATGAACTACTTGTGATCCTCAGATGAAAATTGCCTTAATCCCTGTAATGTAACAAGTTAGACCTATGATTAACAAGTTATCTTACTTGACTAAGTGTACAAGTAGTTAAGAAATGTGTTTATATAAATTTATAGAAGAAACAGTTTATAAATAAGATAAAATATTGTCAACTTATTGCAATGGCGACACTTACAAAGAAAAGATTATAACCAACAAAGTTTATAGACAAAAGATAGATTTATTAACTCAGATAATACTCAAAAGAATAACACAGATAAAACAAATATATAGAGCCTTTGCAATAGAAAGAGCAGAAACTATTCCAAAAATGAAAATTGAGTTTTTATTAAATTGGGTAAATTTCGATGTGGTTAACATTTTTTGATTATAAATGAAAGTCAATTTGCATAATGAAAAATCAAGATAATGTAAAAGAAAAGTTGCACGAGACTGTATAAGGCAGAGCACATCACAAGATTGCCTGGTAATCACCTGTTACCTTTAACCAATCAAAATCATGAAATTTTGGTTGACCCAGATCAGTCTGAAAATCAAAACAAATAATTAAATTCAATTATCTCAAAATGAGATATATTCGAGTTTCTGCCTTTCTACTACAAAGGCTCCATATAACTCAAGAAAAATATAATAATTCCAAGAAAAATATCACAGAAAAGGGACTTATTCCCAACAAAAATAATATAAAAATACTAAAAATAAGACTTATTTCTAATACAAAATTATAACAAAAATAAAAATGGGACCTATTCCCGAGACCAAAGTATATAATAACAAGATTATAATAATCAAAATATGGGGACCAACTATCCTCTTGCCTTGGGAAAAGAGTCAGAGTTTATATATCTTTTTTCAGTATATTAATTTACTATAAAATATAGTAATTAATTAAGAAAATGCACTTTTTATTAATGGAAGAGCACTTTTTACTATAGCATGGGCACCTTTAGATAGTGGATAGACACTTTCAGATAGTGGATAAGCATCTTAGAATGATTAAAATTAGAGATTATGCACCTTTTACTATGGCAAGAGCACTTTTTCTTATAGGATGGCACCTTTTACTATAGGATAGGCACCTTTTAATATAGGATGGGCACCTTTTGATATAGCAAGGGCACTTTTGCCATTTTGGGCTTGTTTGGCTTTGTTTATCCTTAATGTTATTGTTATATCATTCTGGGCTGTCCTGGGGCACCATTTGTGTTTGGATAACTTGGTCCGGGTTCTATTTACATCAAATGAACTAATAAATTAAATAAATAACTATTGCTTTAAATGGAATTCTGTAAAAAATATTCTAATAAAGTTAATAATGAACTATCATTTAAGTGACTAAATAAATAAAATATGTTATAAACTATATAAATAAACTAATAATACTATAAAATATACAATAATAATATAAATAATATAATAAAATTTAAGAGAATATATAATAAATATATAATAAAATTTGTTAATAAAATTCGACTAATAAAAATTACCTAATAAAATATATATAATCTAAATAAATTTGACTAATAAATTTGCTAATATAACAATCCTGGTATCCAATTTCGCAGGAGCTCAATCTCAAGGAAGGCATATGTTATAAATAGAATTATTAGTAATTCTATACAATAACAATTTTTTTCATTTACTTCTAAAAATTTATATGGTTTTAGTACCATTCTATTTTCATAGCATGTAATCAACCTATTTCTTTGTAAATATTTTATCACTTATTCTATTATGGAAATTGAAGATGGCTTAGTGGCTTAGCTGCATGAGAATCAGATGAACTACATAAACACTAAAAAAACCATGTATATATGGTTACACAAAGACTGTGCCTTGAAATCTTTTGATGTCTATGTTGTTTTTATAGTGTATTCACCCAAATTTTCATGTAAACCTTGACATTTAGGTGTAAACCTTGAAATTTCAATGTCTATATGGTGGAAAAATAAAATGTATATAAAGACTATGAATTCAATAAACGAAAGGATAATCCTTGGTTAGTTTGATTAGGCTATACAAACTTATATTTTCAGTTTTCATATCACCAACTGGCCTCTCATGACCCGCCAACCCGGATTTTAATTTTTTTTTTAAAGAAATTTTTATAATAAAAAAAATTTATTTATGAAATTTTATTGTCTCACAGCGGGTATTGGTAAAAATTTTATATATAAAAATTTTCTAATAAACTTATATTATCGGTCTTCATAATACCAACTAAACTTTAGTGACTGATGATAGATTTAAAACCTTTTTTTTTAAAAAAAAAAAACATTTTTTCTAATAAAAATTTTATTGTAATTCAGCCAGAATATCTGGTAAACCGATTTTATATTCTAAAGAAATTTAATAATCATGTACATACGAACAGATTTGTATAAGATTCGGCTTCTGCCGGTAATTTTTTGTACTTCATTGCAATTAGAAGCCGGGATTTATTAGGATTCTATTGAAATGACCAAGAATTTATGTGAAAAATCAGCATAAAATATATTATAGCATGCCAGTATCGAATCATTCAAGTCGGCCAGATCGGAATACTAAATGCAATGGTATACAATGAACTTATAAATGAATATAATTGCATTTGAAACTGGCGAGCTGATAGATCTATAAATTATGTGTAGGCGCTTGATCTTGTTAAAGTCTACAATATTCTTACAACAAAAGAAATGTTTAGAACTATTGATTCAAATTTCATGTTATGCCGAAAATTGGATACTTAAAGAAAGTGTAACGTCTTCTAAGAGCATGGATAAGTGAAATAAAATCATTTTTACTAGTGAGAAATTAAAAATAGCTTTGATTGGTAAAAATTTATGTCACAGTCTTTGTGAAATGCAAGTTATTAAAACTACCTAAAACTATAGTTGATACAATTTACGTATTCAGTTGGGTTTCCGAAGTTATTCCGAAGACAAATCAATTTAAAACTTTATTGTTTATATTGTTTCTACTATTACTATTGTATAAATTCATGTAATATATTCATAATTCAGTAATTGTAAGAAAATACACTTGGCATAGTATAACTTAATGTGTAAAAGTGAGAAAATAAATGAAAATAAATAATATACAGTCAAACCCCTCTATAGTCACCTCCTCTATAATCACAAAATTGGTATAATTACAAATTTATTTTTACCAATTATTTATAACTATATAGGAATACCTCTATATTAGTCACACCTCTTTACAATCACGCTTTTTTGTATCCCGAAGGTGTGACTATAGAGAGTTTTGACTGTATATTGCATATTTGCATATTTCTGTTGGTTTGGTTACTAAATCTAAATAGCTTACCAAATAGCTTAAACATTTATCAATGTTATTCCAGCTTATCTATTTAATTTTAATATGTATTCGTACTTTGCAAGTGTTTTTGAAAATACTTTTTGAGAATATTATTTACGAGGATACTTTAATGAGAATACTTTTATGGGTCAGACCAAAAAAAACCAATCCGGAAAGATTATGTTTATATATGAAGGTAAATAATTAGAATACAGATTAGAATATGGTTTATATACGCACAACATGAGATTCAAAGAAAGCTTACAGATGAAAAGTGACCTATCTAGGCAAGACTAAATCGTATAATAAAGTTGACAATGCATTTTCAGAATTTATTTCAGTAAAACCATTTATTCAAAATGTTGTACCTACTTATGTACCTGGTTATTTACAATGTTGTACGTACAGTACCTGATTATTTACACAAATCATTTTTTCACACATATTGTTCCCCAGAGGAGTGTTGATCTGATTCATAAAGGTGTGAGACCAAATTACATACGACGCATGAGCTCCATAAAATCACGAGCGTAAAACTTTGTTTTTTTTGTTTTACAAACCTTCATGCATATACCCCCGTGATACATTGTGTGTACATTATACAGTCAGACCTTGTTATAGTCACTCTCGATATAGTCACAACCTTGTTATAATCACACTATTTTTTTGACCTT